AGAGCACCATTTCAGAGCACATCGCTTTTGGAAACTTCTGTCTAAAGATGAGATTTCCAAATCACCCAAGCAGGTGCAGTTGGTTGTTGTATTCCTGGTGTTAATATTCATCTTTACTGTTAGAATAGTTTTTCAACTTCGGACAGGGTTTGTTAATTCTGTAGTAATTATACTATCTTCTAATCTCTACAGCAAGTATGGGCCCTTGGTTGGAATTAATTAAATGTGAAGTACCATTATGATGCCTCTCTGGCTCAACTCAACACTTCCCTCTGGCTGCCTCCTTGTCAGTTTGTGGATCCATCTCTGTGGCCACCAGGGCCTGTGCACGCCAGGACTCAACAGGCAGAATCCCTGAGACCCTGCCTTTACCCTCAGAGCCCAGCTGAGGCCAAGGGTCCAGGGGAAAGCATGAGGCATGAGGTCTCCAGATGCCGGACAAGAACCTCTGGAGTGGAGTGTGCCAGGCGGTGCTGGGGAAGTCCTACTGCAACGTGTCAGGCACTGGCCAGCCGTTCACAAAACCCTGCTTTACAGAGGAGACTGAAGCTTGGAGAGAACCATCCTTGGCATATTTCACTAGTAGATGGGGACACTAAGCTCTGAGCCAGGCCTGCCTATGCCAGAGACCCTGTGCCCAGCCACATACCCCTGTGCCCAGCCACATACCCCTGCCAAGCCTTGCCGTCCCACAGGACCCGCCAATGAAAAAGCTTGTGTATCTCAGTGTCAGGGCCATTGTACCATCTGGTCTTGGCTCCCAGTCTTGGAATTCCAGACACTTGCATGAGTTTAAGAATAGGCTAGACTAGAAACCACACAAGCCTGGGTCACAAGAGAAGAGAAGATGCAGCTGCCCCTCTGATGGGTGTTTGGGTGTTCTCTGGGACACTCAGTGTGAAGAGTGACCCCAAGTTACTGGCAAGTCCAAGAGCAGTCCTGTAGGGAAGGGTTGGGAACCTGGAGCCCTGCAGTCTTGCCTGCTAGGGGGAGAAACCCCCAGTCCTTGGGGGGTGGCTCCTTCCACAGGATAGGGGGATCAGTCCCAGCTAACACATTGCCCATGCGAGCCAGGGTGAGTCTAGGACGCTTCACACGATGGGAACCTCATCAGAGTGGTCACTTCTTTTAACTCTAAATCCTTCTTCATTGAGTGTGGAGCGCTTGAGAACACATTCGATGACCTCCAGCAAACACAGGGACCTACGTATGAAGTTCTGCGTGCTATTCTCACCTCATATCTTTATTTTTTCTTATCCATATTTTCTCTTCACCTTCAATTATGTTATTGTCCTTTCATAGTTTGTATTTTTAAAAGCTGCTTCAATCTGTATGACAAAGTGTGACAATAACAAATTGAATAAACAAAATTAACAAGCCTATCCTTACTATAAATAGGAGGACACAATGTGATAACCATCAGTCCCTGTTAAAACCAAAAACCTGCTTATCTTTTTTAACCACATAGTCTCTTCCATTTCCAAAGGTCTCCAATGTTCCATGGGTTCTAGTGGGGGTCTCACCTGTACTTCTGAGTCGGCGTCGACATGCTGCAGCTGGAACCACGTGTCCCTGTTATGGTACTTCTGTAAGTCCTCCTTCTGAATGGCCACCTTCCCTAAAACATACAACACAGAGGAAAAGCAGGCATGAGAGGGAACAAATCCTCCAGACCCAACAAGGTTCATAAGCGGAAATCTCCCCCTACCACTAACCGATGACTTCAAACGATATAATCCAAAACAGATAATCGAGTAAACTGATAACGCCACGCTATCTTCCTTGCAGTATAGTCAATATATGCCACATTTCATCTTGAAGGTGCCCATGTCCCACCCACTAGCAGAACACATCTCACACATGACTGTCTCAGTGGTTGCCAATCTGCCTGCTCTCAGGATGGACGCACAGCCTGAGTTTAGACAGGGCCCACCTTTTATGAGCACTTTCACTCTCTGTGCTTTACACAAGGTGGTTGTAATGAGGTGGAGGCAGTAGTGGGGTATTTTCTACAGACAGGGAAACGGCTCTGCCAGGCACTTGCACAGTGAACTGCTCAGGACCTGGGAGGAATGCAGGATGGGGGTGAGGGAGTGAGCACTGAAGGCAATTGCTAGGCCATTCGGGCAGGGAGACCTGGATAAGCCACACCACCATCGCCTTCTGCCTTGACATCTGCATTGCAAAGTGAGGATAGGGCAGTGCTTGCTTGGTAGGGCTTTGATGAGGATTTCATGGAAGTGTGTGTGTGTGTGTATGTGTGTGTGTGTGTGTGTGTACTTGTATGACCTATAGCTTAGAATACACAGGTGTGCATATTTAGGTTATACAGTGTGTGTGCAAACACAAACATGTGAGCATACTCAGCTTAAATAATGTGTATGCACATGTGTGTATATGCATATTCCGCTTATACAGTGTGTGCACGCTGTGTGCACAGTCAGCTTATCTAGTATACATATGTACATGTGTATATTTAGCTTATATAGCATGTGTGCATGTGTGTGCATGTCAGATCCGTAGTCACAATGGCACACCTATGTACTCAGGTTACCTCATGGCAACAAAAGAAACTCAGGATGCAGCTAGAATGAACCATCACCCTCCTATTGCCCACCTGGGTCTATGAATCAGTGTCTCTCAAAGTGCGATCACGAGTCACCTACATCAAAACATCTGGAGAGTTTCCTAAAATGCAGGTTCCTGGGCCCTATCCCAGTTGGAGGGAACAGAATATCCATTATGGGGTCCTGGAATCTTCATTTCCAAGTCCCCAGGGAACTTTCGTGGGCCCCAAAGTTTGAGGATGTCCACTCTAGATAGTTTTACAATCTGTACATAGGCTTGGTACTTTGGAGCTAGAATTTCAGCGAAAATACACATATACACATTTTGTTATATATATGCATATGTGTATTTTTATATGCAGCTTTTGTTTCCCTGCCTTTCTTCCATTATTTCCTCTTCCCCAAACATCCTTGCTCCTTGTGTCCCCCTGCAATGTCGCCTGCTCTTAGGTGCTCCCCTGGGACCTGTTCTGTTTCCAAATGCTCACATGAGACTTTACTGGGGTCTCCGCCCAATCTGTTCCAAGATGAGGGATTTAAGGAAAAGAAGAGGACGCTCTGCAGTTTGGTGCTGTGGGATTTCAGGCCATGCTACCTCAAAATACGTCACTTTGGCACAAAGATGACTTAAGCTGAAGGTAAACGAGAATCAACAGATGCAGAAAGAAGCCCGACCAGAGTTCCCCTTCTCTGACCACGAGCAGAAACTGCTGAGAAATAAGGGTAGCTCCACATCCCTCTCTCAGGAAGTTTTATGGCCATGAAGAAGATGAAAAGTCGGCACCAGGATGGTCCTAAAAAAAAAACCTACTCCATTCATTCCCCATATACTCACTGTCCCATGGTCTGCCACCCTTCGAGGCCTAAAACCTTTCTCCTTTGTCTTGTCCCTTCTCTGAAATGTACTGTTCCTTTGCTAAGACGACATACCAGTCCAAAGTCTAACTCTTTGAGTTACTCATCATTGAAGTTTCCCCTGCGTGATGCGTGCCGTGGGCGTTAATAAACTGTTTCTCTCTGGTTAATCTGCCTTTTGTCAGTCCATTTTACAGGGCCCTGGCCAGGGAATCTTAGTAGACAGAGAACAGAACTCCACCCCTATGGTCTTCATACTTTGTTCTGAGAAGTTGGTCAGTGGAGCTCTGCTCTGGAGTCCAGAACCTGAGAGACCCACCCACCAGCACAGATGTGAATGTTCAAAAGGCGAAACAAACACGAAAAAGCTGTTACAAGTGCCAGAGGAAAGGCATCCAGGGAGTCAGGACAATTGACAATTTGCTTCCAATGACACCTGTCTTCAATCTCCACCTATCCATCATTGTGCCATTCGTTATATCAGCACATGTACATCATCTCATTGTCTCAAAGGGAAGGTAATGTATTTCACACTCCGCACACTGCAAAGGAGACTTGGGAAAGACCGTGGAACCATTCGGCCTGGGATCCTCAGTTCAAGGTCAGTTAATTTCACACAGCCAGTTCTTCTGTCTGCCTGTGAAGTGGATGCAGCACACAAGCACTCCAAGGGTCAATACCATTGCCCACGTCAACCTCGCTGGCTCAGCTCTCACCACACAGAGCCATCTGAAGCTAAATCCTGCCCAGCCACAACTGCACAACCATTTCAGCCACTGCACACAGTCAAAGTTAGTGTGTGGTGAGAGCTGAGCCAGAGAGACAGACGCAGGGAACATGCAGCGGACACAGGCTGCGAAGAGAGTACACTCCACAGAAATTCAGAGAGACCCAAATTATAAGCCATGCGAGATTTCCTCCAACCAGCATCAAGTTACAAGGGCAGGATGGCCCTCTCAGGACTCATCTCAGGCTCCTCCTCACTCCCCGGTCCTCCCGTCTCACCACTCATTGCCTTGGTGGCATCTCGCTGAGGTCCTGACAGTGGATCCCACTATCTCTGGCCATCCCTCAGCCCACCCCTATGCCAGGAAGAACAGCCGCCGAGGGAATATGCCTTCCTCTCTGTTTGGCTCCTGCAAAACTCTTTCCTTTCTCCCAATGGGAATATGGTTTTGAGTCTTGCAAGAATAAAGCCACATGAAACAAAAAAATTCTTGGAATTGAATTGAGCAATATATTTCATTGAAAAAGAAAAAAGAAATCTTCAGACTCCGTGATTAGTTCAGCTGGATAAGAGGATTACGTTTGAAGTTTGAAATGTTAAGTAATTGCAATGCTTTTATGAGCTTTAACTGGAATAGGGAGGAGTCACATATTTAATGCTTATATGAATCTTGCAACTTACACATCATTACTCTTTATTTTTGGAAGTACTTAATCTAATATTAAGTATGTAATACAGGAAAATATCACAAAACTCGAAACTGTCAAAGAATATAAAATACAGTCAAGAATAAATTTCTCTCTCCCCTGATACACAGGTTCCTGACTCAAGGGTCACCTGTCACCAGCTTTCTCTTTGGCCTTCTAAAGATCAATCACATTCAAGAATATACAAATCTGTGCTTTTAAAACATGTATATTAGTGTTTCTAAATATTGTTCTGAGAGAATACCTGATCCGCAACCATAAGGTCTACTTAAATGTCTTCGATGTGGCATAATCCACAGAGTTGTTCCAATCTGAGTGACATCAAAAGTCACTAAATCATTTGGCCTCACTTTCTCATTCGGACAGAGGTGGGGCTGCCTGATTTTCACCACTAAAAACATGTATTATTTCCTCTAACGGGTGCTGTACCTGTCAGGGTCTGTTCAGAAGAGAGAGGCACGCCAGGTAGTTCAATAGAGGGCATGTGATTTGGGAAATCAAGTACAGAGTTGTCAGAGGACATGGGGACATGTGGACAACCACGGTAAAACCTGCAGGGAGGCCGATTAAGATCAGACCTTAGGAAGGGCAGCCAAACGTTTCCCCAAGGTCGAGCCAGTGACAGAGATGTTTGTTCTCATCACTCCTTTCCAACCTGGTGTCCTAACTGGTCCATAAAGGCAAGAGAAAGAAACAAGGGCACATAGACTAGAAAGGAAGAAGTAAAAGTCTTTATTCACAGAATCTATAAGAAAATCTGCGAGAAAAGCTAATGGAATAGGTGTGTTTAGCAAGACCACAGAATACAAAGATAATACATAAAAATCAAGTGTATTTGTACATACAAGCAATGACAATGAAAACTGAAAATTTAAAAAAACCAATAGTATTTTTCACAAAATGATGCTTTTATGGCTTGTGCTTTTGGTGTACTATCTTAAAAAGTCTTCATCTACTCCATCAAAAACAAAATATGTAAAGATAAATAAATAAATGTATGTGTGCACGTGCACACGTACACAAGATAGGTATATGCTGAAAACACATTCCAAAATACCGATGAGAGAAATTAAAGAATACCTAAGTGCATGGAGAGATATGCCATACTGGAGGGTCTGACGACTCAAATTTGGTAAAATGTTAGTTTTCCCCAAATTAATCTACAAGTCAGTGCAATCTCGGGCATTTGGGAAATTAAGAAACTGATTAAAAAATGTAAATGACAAGGCGAAGGGCCTAGAATAGCAAAACAAGTTTAGGAAACAAACAAAGTTGGGGGCGCGCTCACTGGATACGCCCCTCACTCCTGGACTCGAATCCACGGCGGGGCACGCCTGCGGCGGCGGCACCAGGAGACACGGAAGGTGAGTGTGGGCTCCTCCTGGCTCGATGCCAGCAGATCAGACACGGAAGACCGTGAGAAGCCGGTGACTCTGTGCTCGTTTCCATGACACAAATTTATACTCTAAATCTTGGCTTCTCATCCTGGTAACAACATAATTACTAGTCATAACTTTAAATTATTCCTGGAGATCCAGACAGCCACTTATTTTTACAGCTGTAAAAAAGATGGTGAAAACATCTAAGCCCAATTACACACTGACACACCATAATTTTAAAGCCACCAAGAATGGCTAAACCATGATTTTGCTGGTAATCTTTAAAAATAGCAGATACCTTCAACAGAATGATTAATAACTATCTTACTTGATTATTTTGAAGGGAAATAACCTCAGAACCAATTTGAGCAGGTTCTCTGATT